TTTTCTTTTTTTTTTTTTTTTCCCATATGCAAAGTCAGTGTTCCATTGTGTATACTTACATTAGCACACTCAGAAAAGATAGGAGCGTACATAATGAGCTTTTATACACAGCAAGATATTCATTGTCTACAAATGTGGCAGAACTGGGCTCTTACATATTTAAATGGCAATTAAATTTACAAGAAAGTTACATTGTATAAAGGATGTGTACAGCACTGTCTGCATGTTCTATAGAACATTGCTGATTGGACTCACAATAGGTGTTGCATAAGATGTTGTGATATTATCAAGAAGTTTGAAAAATGTCTTCCTAGAAGTGTAGTTCTAGCATATTGACCAATGATGAATATCACCCTGTGCAGACTCATGACATGCACACTAAACCTTTGCAGTACAATTTGAAATTCTGTCTTTTCTGTCTACTATTCAGTTTGTTACCTCCTTTGAACAGCTGTTGCATTAGGATAAGTTGTGAAAACTTTCACAGCAGTGATTATCTTACTCAGGTAAAAGCACTCGAGATAACAAGTGCAATCACTTGCTAATCACTGTGTGGAGGAATGATGCGAGTGCATATATCCTTGCCTTAGGATAGGTGAGAAGCCAGTTAAAGGTTTGTAGGTAAAAATCAGGGGACAGACCGACACAGGTGATGTGGTCAACATCTACTATAGCCTGCCTGATGAAGAAAGACAGTAGATGATACCTCATGAATGCGCAGTGGGGTTTCATCCACTCTTATGCTTGCTACAAGTTTAGTATAGCTGAGTGGAAGAAATGTGGGAGATTTTTGGTGTTCTTGGGTGCGTTTCTGAAATAATGACAACTTCCTAATACGGATAGCAGACAAGCTGAAGCTGAGGTGCTTTGGTGGACATTTTACTAGTGAGCATGGAAGAAGTGGCCGGGGTTGTGAGGAATGAGCACAACCCTTGGTTGCAATGTCTATGACACTGTGAAGTTTAAAATGCTCAGAGACAGGAGTAAGACAAACATTTCAACTTTAACATGTAGAATGGAAATGAGAAAGAAAAAATGAGCACGAAAAGGAGAAAGAGAACAAACATGAGAAACTCTCTGTGTTTTTTCTATCTGTGCTGTTCTACATAAATCCTTCAGTGTTGTCAACCAACAGTGGGAGAATGTCCTGCAGGCATAGGGGAAACATGTCCAGTTCCCAGCAATGTCCTACAGCAGATAACCACACAACAGGAATTCACTGAGACATCTCACACTCGTAAGCTTCTAATCAGGGCTACATTTCTTTTTTATTTTTTCCATTTAACAAATGTAATCTGAACAAATTAAAACTAAGAGCAGGACCACATTATACTTATAAACAGTTTTTACACAAATAAAGAAAATGAAAGTTTTTTCTCATGTCTTATGTAAGTAAGTGCTTTAATACAATTCTGTTATTTTTTACTGTTAATCAAGTTAGTCCAATTAAAGTGCTATAATCAAGCCAATTATTTTATTAACTATTATTAAATAGATATATATAATATTAGTTATTACAATTGTTTAAAAATTTGTTAACAATACTTAATTCAAAGTAGCTCAAAATATCAATTAAAATGACTTTTTTTTTTTTTTTTTGTAAAACATTTTGTTAAGGCTATTAGCAATATTACAGGAATTGAATTGGTTGGATTGAATCTTCTTATCAACTTTGGAATTTTATGAGTTGTATCTGGCATGGGGTCTTTATCCATATCGTCTAAATACAATAATGTGCAGACATCCTAGTCTTCACCTTTGCTACAAGAAGGCACTTCGTTTCTATCCAAGGTCATTTTAGAAGATTAGAGTAGATTTTCACTATTTAGGAAATCACAGAACACAGATAATAATAACAACAACAACAACAACAACATTAATAACAGACATAATTAATTCAGTTGAAGAGAATTGGTGTGTAAATTGTACCTTCCCACCATATGGAGATTCTTTGGTAGGACGAGTTCAAGCTTTTGTTTGGAGAAATATGTTAAAAAAAAGTTAATCACTCAATTTTTTAATAAAAATATAGCTTAAAAATGTAAATTAATGGAAAATGATTAGTGTTGATGCTAGATGACACACCATGTAGCCTTTAAGAATATCTTGTTTCTAAACCCCATCAGAATTCTCTGCAAGATTGAACAAAATAGTGAATCCAGGAGAATTTGTGAATTAATTTGCTGAGCATCTGAACTTCTTCTGAGAAATGTTTCCATAAGAAGCTAGTGAAGAAAACTATGGTGCTTCCTATAATGAAGTAACATGTCCTTAGGTTATTAGGGAGCTAAGCATGAACACATTCAGTGTTCTTTCTAGAAAGAAATCAATAGCAGTGGCAATTTCAAAAGCAAAAAAAAATAAAATAAAATCATGATAATATTTGACTTAAAGATGAGGCAGTCTGTGAAGGACTCCAGAGGAGCTAAGCATTATTAATTGATTCCAACCTATATACATGAAATCAAATAGTTAACAGAGTAATATAAATGGTCCATTTAACAGTTCAGAAGTGAACCTAATGCTAATTAAATAATTTTATTGAATCTCACACTGATGAAAAGAAATTTTAATAAATTATTATAAAAATAATTTTAATAAAAGATATTTTAGCATTTCCAGAAATAAGCTTGGTATATGCATAAGCAAAGAGTCAAGATGGGCTATGTTTCTGAACTTTAATTTAAAATGTCAGTTCACCTGGAGGAAGAGAGATAAAATTACATTTTGTTTTGCTTCTCATTGGACAGGTAAACCTATTATAAACAAAGAATTCAAATCCAGAATGAGATCCTGAATTAAATTTTTCATTGTGTTTAGATCCAAAGTTTTGGGCTGGAAATAAAGATATGAATTATGTTGAACTATTTCAGAACTGGTATCAGGAAGCAAGGAAGGAACAAAGAAGGGAGAAGAGAAAGAAAGAGTTTTTTTGTTTGTTTTGTTTGTTTGTTATTTTGTTTGTTTTTCTCCATAAGAGAGAATTTGACTAAATACCACTTTTGTAGTGCATATTAAATGTTGATACAAAAAATATCCAGACAACATTGCTTTCTGCTGCACAAACTGCTTCCTCCACAGAGGACGGGATGATGCAGGTTAAGGATGGAACAAATACTTGGAAGAACACAAGGAAAAAAAAAAAAAAAAAAAAGAAAGACCACACTATGCGCACCTCTTCATTGATGTAAATTCTAAAGAGAATTTATATCAGGGCTACGAATTAATATTAATAACCTGTGATTTTAACCTGCAGAATCACAGAATCACAGAATCACAGAATCTCTAGGTTGGAAGAGACCTCAAGATCATCGAGTCCAACCTCTGACCTAACACTAACAGTCCCCACTAAACCATATCCCTAAGTTCTACATCTAAACGTCTTTTGAAGACTTCCAGGGATGGTGACTCAACCACCTCCCTGGGCAGCCTGTTCCAATGTCTAACAACCCTTTCAGTAAAGAAATTCTTCCTAACATCTAACCTAAAACTCCCCTGGCGCAACTTTAGCCCATTCCCCCTCGTCCTGTCACCAGGCACATGGGAGAACAGGCCAACCCCCATCTCGCTAGAGCCTCCTTTAATATACTTATACAGAGTGATAAGAAGGAACAGCAGTCTTCCACCAGAGCACTGTAATCCATTTCTAGCCTTCCTCACATAGGGAAATATATTTAAATTTAAATTGGATTTACATGTATAGTATATCTAGGTTCACAGTACTGTGCAAAAAAATGTATGATGTGGTAAACTGAATTTAACATAACTGTACTTACTATAAATATATTTTTTTTCCACTAAATGTACTTTTTCTTCCTTTAATTTCCAAAAAACATACCACTAAGACCTCAGCTTTTACATGAATACCCATTTCTACAAAGAAACATGAAAACATCAGACTGTTATCCACTAAGCTGCAAGCCTATTTCTGAGCCAGAAAACTCAAAGCTAAGGAGAATCTTGCATGACACTCACAACCCAAAGCTCCCTACAAGTAGCAGCCTGAATTCAGGGAAAGTTGCATCTTACAATTACTTACCTGCTAGCACTTCTCAACTATGCTATTTATTACACACTTTTATCCCAGCTGTGGTAGTTTTACCCAGCTGGGCATCTGGGCTCCACCACAACACAGGGAAACAGATTTAAGTATAGCGAGATTAGAAAAATCTATTACCTATTACTAACAAACAAACAAGAAAACACCTTCTCAACATCCACCTTATCTCCCTGAGTGGTGCATGGGAATCTGCAGGATGCTGTCCTGACAAGTTCAGAAAGGGAAGTGTACTGGGTCTGGCTGGGATGTTAACTTTCCCTGCAGCAGCCCATACAGTGCTGTGCTCTGCCCTTGTAGCTGGAACAGCAGTGTTATCACACCAGTGCTGTGTCTGCTGCTGAGCAGTGCTGGCACAGCATCAGGACTCTCCCTAACCCTCCTAGGAGGTGGGCAAAAAGTGAGAAGAGAAACATCACCAGGACAGCTGACCTAAACCAACCAAAGGGCTATTCCATACCATGTGGTGTCACACTCAGCAATAAAAGGTGGAAACAGGAAGAAGAGGGGAGGGGTGGGCTCTCGTTGTGAAAATGTTGGTCCTCCTACTGAACACCGGCTACATGTGTTGAGGCCCTGCTTCAAGGACGTGATCAATCATTGCTCATTTGTGGGAAGTAGAGAGTAATTTCTTTCCTCTGCACTTCCACATAGCTTTAATTTATTTTATTTGTTTGTTTTCCTCCTTTTTTTTTTTCCTTTCCCCCTCCCTTTTCCCCTTTCCTTTTTTTTTTTGCCTTTATTTAAATTGTTTAGTTCATAATACTCTTTCTTTAATTATTATTATTATTATTTCCCGTTGATTAAATTATCCTTATCTCAACCCCTGAGTTGTTCTTTCCTTTACCTCTTTCCCTCCTCATCTAAGGAGGGGGAGTGAGAGGGCGGTTGTGGTGTTTAGCTGCCCAGCAAGGTAAAACCACCACAGGAAGTCAGTTTGTTCCTCCTGCCCTCCTTCTGTGCTGACCCGGGGGACTGCAGGGTGGTTCTCACCCTGTTTGTCTATGTTTGGTCTATGGAAGAAGTAATTTGTATTTGCTGTTGCTCAGCAGTGTGTCACTCTCCAGCATGGGGTAGGGTTAAGGATTAAGAACTGATGTCATCTTTGTGGTACCTAGCTTGCTGTGGAGGGCTGCAAATTTCCAGCTTTTCTGGGGTGGCAATTTCTGTCTTTTGAAAGGTCATCCAGTGTTATCCTCAAGGAGCTCAGAGCTTCAGGAGAAAGGCTGTTTGCTTAGTCAGGAAGCAGCCAGACTTGGCTGCTCCATAGGGAACAGTGAGCTATGAGCTGAGGGCAACCTGTGGGAATGAGATAACAGTGTCCTCACCAGCAAAGGGTGAAATCCCTTGGCAGGTATAGCCAAAGAAATGTCCTTCATGGGAGATATACTATCTGTTTGTGTGGAACTTAAGTCAGGGTTGCTGTAAAAGCATCTGGTATGTCTCTGGGTAAACTTCACATTTCTTTTCTCACATTAACAGCATCTATATCTTAGTTAAAAGATGAAGTCATAATTTCAGTCCTGTTGTGAGGAGCTGCTGAAGCTATGTATGTGTATAGACATGATTCTTTTTTGGAAGATGATGACCAGTAGTGTTTTACTAAGCATACAGAAACATGTAAAAATGCCTTATATATTGGGGAAAAAAAAAAAAAAAAGAACAATAAAGTTTTCCCTATTCATCAGAAAAATATCTCTATTTAATTTCCCCATTTTAATTTATTAAGGTAAAGACAGTGTTATTTAACCACTGAAATATTTATGTTGTTTTTCAGGAAGTTTCTGGCGATGTTCATATCAAGTTGCTTATAGGATTCTGATTCTGCAGCAGTAAAGACTTGTGGCAGAGTAGGTAAAATATCATATTTCTTTTTCAATAACAGGACTCTAGCAGGATTGCTCCACACAGATGTGTGTGATTTATACCAACTGCCTGGCTTGGCTCCAGAGGAGTCTAGGCATGTGAGAACTGAAAGGAGCTCAGATTATGCCATTTGCCATGTTCAGCATCCAGCTGAGTCTGCAAAAGAGCAAATCATCACTAACTGCAGGAGTCAGACTCTGTGAGGGTAAGATCGGTGCGGGGTAAGATCTATGGTACTACTGTTTCAATGCTACCTTTAAGGCTCTTCTGTATCACTTTCCCCACTCTCTGATATACACACAGGTTTCTAAGCCTACCCATTCTGATCAAGGATTTTAAATTTCTCCGTGAAAATATTCAATACTGATAAAAATGTTCACAATACAAGCTAAGCAATTTTACTTATAACTTTCAGATCCGGACTACACAATATTAACTGCTGATTCATTTTATGTAGAAGTAAGCTAAACCATTTACTGGAAATGACTGCTTGTGGAATTGGTTTTAATAGTCATTTAAATATAAGAAAATAGCAGTAACGTGAGATTCATTAATGAAAAGTGTTCTATTTTTACATGGAGCTCTAAACATTTTTGCTCATCTTTCTTAATAATGTACTTCTGTGCTAGCCTTTTGCCCTTTAATATATTGCCCTCTTCCAATTTCCAGGCATTTTAGTATTCTGTTTGCAAGTTCTGCATTATTTAGGCAAATTAGGCAGTTGAGTTTCTTGCCTTCTGAGGCTCTCATTTGTTACTGCTCTGGTTGTTGGTTCACTAAGCAGAATCTGGAAAAGAGCAGAGTTATACATGCAGTAGGAATTTAAAGACTTTTAGCAGATCGTGTTCAAATTACATTCAGTAATTATCAAATAGCAGTGAAAAAAGAGCCATTTGTTTGTTTTGTTTCTTGATTTTTTTTTGTAGGTAATTTGAAATTAACAAAAAAATATAACTTAAAAAGAATTGGGAACTACTAAAATTTTTGATCTTCAGGCAAAGATCCTGTGTTCAGGAGCTACTCAGAATCTTAGATGACCAAGCTGTTCTGTGAATCCATATATAATGAAAGTACACACGCAAGTTTTTATTGTAATGATTTGATTGATATATGTAGATTTTTTTTTTTTCCCCCAGTTTGTGAAATCCTACAAGATCTTTGATACATCAATGTCTGATACATCAATACAATTTTTTTGAGTTGTAGCCAGGGATTTAACTCCTCCATCAAAAACATTATATTACATTTTTCATTTCCACTTTTAAAACCTAATCCTTCTGGTGTGCATGGTGTGTGGTTGCCAGAACATGTGGAAGCACTTTACAGAAAAAAAAATGACATACTGTGCTCTCTGCATGTTCTCTCTTTTTCATATCTCCTCTTGCTCCCATCCTCTCTTATAAGTAGCTAAACTTCACTGGCAGTGTCTGAGATAGGGTAGATTTGAAGAAACTGCGGACAGAGATGCAATACTGCTGCAGTATGGAGGGGAGGTATGGTGGGTAGTGGCAGAAGAGTGGTAGACAGTATCTGGCCTTTAAAAAGCTGCCTCCACTTTTTTTCTTTTTTTCTTTTTTTCCCCTCTCTCTTAGCAGTCTCATGGATTCTACATTTTTCTATCTTTATGAATATCATATCTCACAGGCCCAAAGAGAAGCATTTGGGAAAGCATTAGGCATTTGGAAAGTTTGGACAGCTTGTAAAATGAAGGGTTAGAGATTAAAATATATAATGCAGGTATACATCAACAATAGAAATTCAAAAAAAACTTAATTTTCATATTTGCAAGAATGTAGATGTAAGGATTTTCAAAAGTACTAGAATCTCAATATTAGGTACCTGATTTCAAACACTTCACAGGAACTGGTATTTAAAGAGTGCATATTCTATTGTGAAGTCAAGTTTAAACAAAGTGTTAACTTGATTCCTTTATGTGTTGAATGGACAGACGTCCATGGAGGCACTAGCTCAAGAAGTTATCTGGTCTGTGTTCTGTACTTTTATAAAATAAAAAGTACTCTGTTTTTGTAAAATGGCTTCTATCTATTAATTTCTTTTGCTGCTTGAAAGACTGATGGCAAGTCCTCATTTCCATATATTTGTTGGATTGCCTGTGTGTAATGAAACACTGTTTTGATGAATTTGGTACAAGAGATAACGTGTGTTGAGGATATTCAAGACCTCATTGAGTCCCAAAGGATTTTAGCAGTCTTGTACACAGAAAAGGTTTCTTATTATAGGAGTCCACTTCCATGTCCAGGACAATCTTCCTTACATCCACAAGAATATCCTCTAGAGGATAAGCATAGACAGTGTGCTCAGTGGTCCAAAAAATGTCTCAGATTTTCTGCTGGACGTTTAGTGACTATCTGTGTTTCATTTATATGCTTTACATAACTAAAAGACCTGAAGATGTTCATAGAAAAATGGATAGAGTATCAACATTTTGTTGTGTTGAAAGACATGAAATAAAGTAATCCTTTCTTTTCAATTGGCTATATATGAGTGAGTCAGTGGAAGGAAAGAAGGAAAGATGGAAGGAAGGAAAGTCATCATAATAGTAAACTTATATATATATGTGAATCTATTTGAGAATTAATATCATGAAATACCAGTGAATATGTTAAGATCGTTTTGCTGTCCTAAATATTATAATAATAAGACAATTAATTTTGGTAGGTGAATTTATCTAGTTGCTGCAGCAATAAGTTATAAATAATAGAACACAGATTTGACATTCATGTATGAATTTATACTGATTTTGTGTCACTGGAAATTGTACCAAATATATGATTAGGTGCCTTTTAAATTCCTTTTGGAATCTTATATTTACTGAGAGCCCAGAAAATCTATGTGGTATTAACATGCTGATTCAATCTGATGTTGTTGCACAGTCTTGTGTAAGTCAGCTGAGGAAAAAAAAAAAAAGCTATTGATATTCAGCAGGCACCTCTGTAAAGCAATTTACACAAGTAAATACCATTGCTAGCCTCTATGGCCAAGGTCTTTCTGTCCAAAAACTAATACAAAATGAAACAATGTTTCTTTAGATGGAATGAAAATTTTAAGAAGGGAAATGTTCACCACTTAAAAGGTTGCTTAGGACAAAATAAATCAAAATGACAACATTATTTATGGTTTAATTCACAGAAAAGCAAAATGTACTAATGAATTAAAATAACAGCTTTTGGTATTGACAGATACAGAACATCTAGTGGCTTGTTCATCTATTTCCTGTAAAAGCCAAATGAAAACTCACATAGATTTTAGTAAGTAATATGCTGAGTGCTATAATGTACTCTAAAAGGTGAAGTTTATATAATTCGTATGTATTTTATATAGATTTTATATTAGTTTAAGAACATTAATGATGTAACAGACACCATTGGATGAAATGCAATAAGCATGAGTTTTAAACACCAAAGAATAGCATTAGAGTGCACCATTGGCTTCTATATAAGTGCATCATTCTCCTATAGAGTGCATCATTGGCTCCTATTTAGATAAATACATATTGGGAGTGATCACAGTCCAGAAATTAAAGAGAAACAAGGATTGGGTTGAGCTGAATATTATTGATGGGTCTGCAAGTCGTTCATCTTTATCTTTAGATTTTTGTATTTTATAGAGGTCCTAGGGCCTCTATTTTTCAAGTAGTTCAAATAGGAACAAGTCATGATTAGCTTTGGTAGAATATCTCTTTGAACTCAGGGTGAGTATGTTACATATTTTATTTTTGTTTTGTTTTATTTTAATTTTTGGACCTCAGTTAAATAGGCAACAGAAAATAATTTACCTTTTACATGTATCATTTCAGTATCTAGTCACAAAAACAGGAGTGTAAGAAGAAGTGGAAATGAAAGGAACAAGATGAAATGAGAAAAAGGAGAGGAAATGAGTGGAGCAAGAGCAAGAGATGCAGAACTGCTTCTACTTACAGCATGGCAAGAGAATGATGCTTCAAAGAACTCATGAGATTATGGCCTGTGGTTCAAGCCTTTAATTTAAGATTCCATCTTTTACAGCTTTAACACAGTTTTTTTTACAGTTTTAACACAACAACATCTGTCTTATAAATGATGTAACTGGCAATTACAACTGCTGTGGTTGTCTAGATGTTCTGCAGAACATACTTCTGAAGGCTGCAGCAATTACTTCTGCGAATGATTAATTAGGAAAATAAACTCATATTTTGTAAACTCTTACAGTGTGTAAGAAATAGGTCAACAGAAGGTGATGAATGTGTAGAGCCTTTTTTCTCCTGTAGTGACTATTAATGCTTTAGTGATCACTGTTAATTTACAGAGATCATCAAGCTTTTAGACAGTTAAAAATTATTTCAAAGTATTTTGTGCAGTTGTATGCTTACCAGAAAGAATAATTACTTTTGAATTCTTTTATCATGTCAGCCTTTAGACTAGGTCGGAAAACTGCTTGAGGGGATGCCTTGGTGTACAATGGGTTGAGAACTGTTCTTTTTCAACTAGAAGGCCATCATTCCCTTGATGCTTTACTATCTGTATCTGTCTGCTCACAGCTTTGTATATAGTGTTTTCAGCAGTGCTGTCTATCTATCCATGATACAAACTGGTAGTATCGGTCATTTCTGTTATCTTATCACATGCTGTGGATAAAATTAGCTAACTATAATAAAATAACTAGTTAGTGCAGACCACACAGATAGTATGACAGAATGGAACAGCAGCTGGGTGAGATGCTGGTATGAAAAATACCAGTCAGATCATTTTTATGAAAACAATTGCAACTTTCTGGAGGAAAAAAAAAAAGTAAAACAATATTACTTTTGAATGTAAAATGATATTGTTTTGTTTTTCAAATGTTATTTTTATTACTATTATTTTTTTTAGTGGAAAGATATACACTCCTTGGAGATAACAATCTTATCATATACATGTCACATAGAAGGAAACCTAATGAAAGGACACAACATTCCATACTTTTATTGGTACACTGTGGACAACATTGGACATAGGAATTATTATCATTATTTTTTCTTTATGACAGAACAGGAGAGAAAGATACTGTCTTCTAAAATTTCCTTGAAGATGAGGTGGTTAGTAAGTTTGAAAAACTTGCCACTCTAATTTTGGCTCTGGGTTCTTCAGTTAGATACTTGGTCTGCCTTGGGGTTCTCTGAATCTTACCTGAATTTGAACAGAGGACCTGTGACTTGCCTATCCAGAGAGAGAATGCAACTAAGGGAATGTTGGTTGTTGCAGCAGCATTTTAAAGATCCTAAAACTCAGTTGGTGAATACCACTTCAGCAGCAAGATGAATCTTGTGATTTTAGCCTGGTGTGCTGTTTGGTAACTCAATCTGTGCTTAAACCACTGTTTATGTCCAGTGCAGGCAGAATTACATAGCAATGATAGTGTCACATAGACTGTTTTCACATTAAATAAAGTATATAAATTTACGTATATAAATAATAAAAGAAACTACTCTGCAAGGAATTTCTGAGATGCTTTTTTTTTTTTTTTTTTGAGGTTTTACTGGTTTTTAGAGGTTTTAGTGACAGATGTGGCAAATGCTAGGTGAATAAGTGCAAAATAATTTATGGGTCTTTATACTGTTTCTAATGAAATGACATTTTGTTAATGGCTAACAGTCAACATTTTTTTTTGAATATTTTCACAGAAATTCTCATAACTAATTGCTATGAAGCTCCTAATAATAAACAAAAACAACAGAACTTTGGCTTCTAAACTAGACATCTAAAATAAATGCTATGAAAAAGTCAATATTCAACTCACATGATGGATCCAGTGAAATAATCAAAAAACTTATTTTCTCAGCTTTCCTAAGAATTGTGTTTCAGAAGCGTAAGCTAACTGTTAAATTTGGCTGCAATTTGCAATTGTTATTTTTAAAATTGCAGAAATATTTTTTGATTATTTGTAATCTCTTCCCATTTTGATCACAGATGAAATCAGATTTCTTCTCAAGATAAATTATCCATAAAAACATCCTAAATCAGATTCTGAGAAAAAGATAGTTCTGAAATATAACTTAATGCTATAATAAGGAAGGTGTTAATTTAATCTATGCATCAGATTTTCCTTTTTTTTTTTTTTTTAACTATTGTCCACTGAAACCTATTAAATAAATATCAAGAGTATTTTAATATTATAGATAACTTACTTGAATATAGAAAGTGGGACAAAAATGATTTACTAAAAAAAAAAAAGAAAGCAAAAATATTTACCTTTTTGACAAGTAATTGATGATTATAGTACTTGTTATGGAATATGGAAAGTAGTCAGGATTGATCAGCTTGATGTGCATTTTTGCTAGCTGTCATTTGGTACAAGTCTTCTCAGGTTTGGTCTCAGCACTTTTTCAGTCTCATACTTAACTCTTATCTTATATTAGGTAAATAATAGGCTGCCTTAGAGCCCTCTCTATATTTTTCAGTTCTGCCACCTCTTGTCACCAATAGCTCACATCTGGAAAACCACCTATTACACCATAAGGTGCATGGGTCACCCAGGGAAGTGTAGCAGTTGCAATCACGTAACAATGCACTACAGGTAGAATAGATTACATTACTTTTTTATTGGTTCTGGAAAACTGTACAAGATACCATATTTAAGATGTATATTTAACTTACCTGAGAACTCTTAATACCTTGCTTTCCCCACTGCTCCATGGGTCAGGTTCCAGCTGTAAGGATCTGGCCCTGAATGATAAGCTTACACATGTGACATGCGTCAAATTGATACTTTGCTTAGAGCTGAGGAAAGAACTGGAGATACCACATGTGGAAAAGGCTGATATTTTCTGTTTTCAAATTTTCACTTTGATATTTTTTGACACACATATTCTATATGACAGGCAGAGAAAGTTTATTATTACTGATATGGAGAGCTTTCCTCCATTCACTTTGCTGTTTCACTGTGTAATAATCTTCTTATTTGTTAACCATTTTTTGCTTCTCGTTCAGTGCTGAAGTGAGCTGCTGTGTTATCTTTTTCAGCCGTTTATTGTGTTATGGTTCATTCTTCCTTTTTATATAATTCCTGGTTCTATGATTTTGAAGGCATTGAATGTAAAAGCTTCTTTACTCACTACCTTGGGTTTGGTAGAGGTTGAATTAAAAACAAAAACAAAACAGCTACACCTCTATAGCTAAAAAATATCTCTTAACCTCACAGGAATTACAATTTGGGATTATCTTTAGACAGGTGTTATTTTAAACGTGTCCTCTGGTTCAAACTTTTCTTTTCAAAAATTGCATATTAAAAATAACCAAGAGTGAGTCTGAGTTCCTCACAATTGCATTTGCCAGAAGAGTGTTTTCAGTATGAGTTATATGAGGTAGGTATTTAGCAAGTGAACCCCTAAAAATGTGACAATAGGTAGCATTTGGTGTGTTACTGAGGATTTAGCAATTGTGGAAAAGCTGAGCTGGTGTTTGTTATGGCACATATCTCTGTGCCTCAATTACAGAATTTTTCCTTCACCTGACAATAAAGTTTGTGAGCTTTCTGTGACAAGGGCTCTCCACACTTCGTGACTGTATAGCTCTTTGCCCACGGTGGGATAATTCACATAAAGCTACTTATTTTCTATGTTTCTGGTATACAAAAGTGTAATCTTTATTATATATTTAATATATTAAGATACGTGACTGTGCGCATGAGTATATCATGCACACGTTTACCTATATACATATTTGTAGAAACCTATACATACATGATAGATAATACTTTTAGCACTAAATAATTCAGGCAGAGACCCTTTTTGAACAGAGATAAATGTCTTCAGAGACTAGGAGACTTGTGTGCTAACAAAATTACTCAGCAAGCCTCAGGTCAGAAGTGTTTTCATGGTCTTATGTTCTGAAAAATCTGCAGTTTATGAAAATGTAAAGAATATTTCAGTTAAAATCATCTTCATTTAAAATCTGTTTTTTCTGTTAAAAGCAGAAATTTAGTATTAATGCTCTCACAGTCTTTGGCTTGTCACAGCTGTTTTAGGAGAATTTGCAGATTTGCAGTGAAGTATCTACAAGAACCCTCTCTCTCTGTCTATCTCTCTCAGTACCTGTGGTATAGATACTTGTGATCATAACATCTACTTGTTCCAAGACTAAAGGATGATTTACATGAAGAAGAACAGTTATTTCAAGAGTCCCAGTGTCCCAAATCATTTATATTATGTTTTTAGGAATAGAAAGCTGCTTTGGTTTTAGATAGTTATGGCACAAATAATTCCCCTTTAAGTCAATGAAAGATGTTTGTCTATGTCTGAGAATAATTTGTCAATCTTGACACTGTCTCTCTCTCTCTCAAAACAAACAATCAAACAAACAAACAAAAATCCACTGAACTATGTTCTTTGATGTACTGTGATTTTACTGAAATTTCTTCTTGAGCTGCAGGAATGTTTATTATTAGTATTTATTCTCAAAAAAAAATTTTTTTTGGATTAAAATATCTCAGCTTTGGATTAGAAACACATGCATTGTAATTAGAGTACTTAACCCTGCAATTCTTTAAATTCTATAATGTGGTCAGAAAATTCAATACTTGTAGTACAGCAAATTAGCTTACATTGAACAAGGTAGTGCTGTAGCAATAGCCTCATGAGATTATGACATTATTTAAATCTAGCTTGCATAAATACGCAATACATCACAGTAACTCGCTTTTATGTGTATATATATATGTATGTATCCTTATATTAAATATTTCTTAATTTATTACGTTTAATATATCAATAGTCTATGAACAAAATATATGAATATACTTCTGAGGCCTGAACATATAGTGAACTCTCTGTAACAACTGATTCCTCTTAAATAGAATATTTTCCTTTGGAAATATTAACACTAAATTGTCCCAACGCAAACTTCACATTAGTGGGTTTGTTGTGTTTTATTTGTAAGTTATTTATATGTATGTTTTCAAAGCAATGCTTAGTGACCCCATAATGGGTGTACAATCTCCCACTGAGACAGATTTTGGAAAGGTGTATATAGACCCTTCTTAACTCCCTTGCTTGCTGTGTCAACACACCAGTTATAAAAACTGGCTATCAAAGATGCAAGACCAAGTAAAATCAGAACAATTTTGGCAGCTAAAGGCTGCATTAGAAACATGATATGAGATGCAGTTTTGAAGGATTTTTACAGAGACAGATGAGTAGGGGCAGTCTAAGAGAGGTAAGAGAAATAAGGTGTGATAGGAAACAAATCCCTTTCTCTGTGCAAAAGTGAAGAAACAACATATTTCTATCTCTCTGTTTTAGAGAAATAAAGGCTTAGATATAACTTGTTAGATACCTGCATATAAAATTGAACTTTGTCATGTTGAGGGGAAGAGTCACTAAATTGAACATATGGAAAGAGAATTAGTAGAATAAGCATTCTCTGGGAAGACCTGGCAACAGTAAATTGCTGTGTGATAAACTGAGAAGCTCTTGATATTCGTGTAATTATTCATATGTTTTGATGGAATAAGATAGAGCTTTATCAAAAAGACACCAAGCTCTTAAAAGCTACTCTATCAATAAGATGGCATAGTGTAATTAGTCTGTTGAATTAAGACTAATGACTACTACAAGACCAGTAGGGATACAGACATGAGTTACTCTGATTTTTCAAATATTTGTAGCCCTGCTATGGCTCTGCTAACTAACTGCTGACAATCATCTTGCACAATTTTGCTGATAAAGAGCTGTTCATTTTTTCAGAAGCTTTATTTTTATTACATCAGTAAATGCTTAAAGGTGCTGTACAAATGCACAGGAAGAATTAGACACTGCTTGGTTTTGGGAGTGGAGGAAACAGGGAAGATGCTGCTTGAACACAAAAGGTTAGTGGGGGGCTGCAGGAGTGGCCTCTGTGAGCAGAGCCCAGCAGCTGCCCCATGTCAGAGCAGAGCCAGCTCCAGCTGCCCCAAAAGGGACCTGCCACTGGCCAGACCAGGGCCAATAAGCACCTCCTGCCCTCCTTCTGCACTGCCCTTGGGGGCTGCAGGGCTGCCTCTCACCCCTATCTCCCAGCAGTTGTTTCCCTTCCTTAATTCTGCTCTCCCAGAGGCCCACCCAGCGTTGCTCCCTGGCTCAGCTCTGGCCAGTGGTGGGTCCCTTTGGGAGCAGTTGGACCTGTCTCTGCTCTGACATAGTCACAGAGGCCACCCCTGAAGCCCCTGTGCTACCAAAACCTTGCCATGTAAACCCAATACAGTGTTCATGTTACCAAGAGTAACGAAGAAAATCAGCTGAACAATCTTCCATGTCTCCAACGACATTTGCTTTGACGTCCTAGCGATGAAGATCATAATGTTATATAAAGTATGACAACATCATTAAAAACTGGGGGCAAAAGTTGGTCATTGTGTACTTCTCATTGTGATTTGAGAGTTTTGTAAGCTAAGTTCCCTTTTCATTACTACCCAAAATGTTACAGTTACAGTCTTGTTAGCTACTTTCCCTGATGTGCTT